GAAATCTACGCTCTGGTCTTAAAACAATGCTTCCCTACTTCATCTGGCTCCAGCTGAGCAGTGCACTCCACCTGGCTGCAGGCCGCCTGTGCATGCCTGACTTGGTTGGGTACGGTGTGTGCTCTTCTCATTTCCTGCCAGTGTTTACAGCCAGGCTGCAGAGAGAATTCAAGAGCTCCTGTGCTTGCTCTAGCTCTCCACACCTTTGTAGGCTTCTGCCTGTCCAGAACTGATATTGGCTCTAGTGCTCTGATATTAGCTTAAACCCAATGCATTACTTTAGGCTAATGAACAAAGGAAAACTAGTACAACCTATTCCCAGGGACAAGAGGAAGAGTCAAGAGCCAAGAAATATCAAAGTGATGATGTCAGTTCACCCTCTTTACAAAACAGTCAAGTGGAAATACTGAAAAGGAAGGCTGCTCTTTTACTCCAATAAAGGTCAAATAAAGAGCTAAACACTCTCCTTCCCATTACTACAGTAGTACTAGAGATTGGGCTTTTTCAAATAGTTTCCCTGATACTATCAAAGACATTTACTTTCTTTTTACAGGTGTGTCCTCACACAGTTAATCCCCTCTAGCCATTCAGAAAAAGAGAAATCTATTTCTGCTAGCTTTATTTGTTCCCAGACCCAGAGCTGGATGAATTGCTTATGGTAATAAGAGATCAGTTTAATTTAGTACATTTTTCCTACTTGTGACTTGACCATCACATTATCCTGACTCCTGTGTTTGTAGGACTAACCATAAATATTCTCCAAACAGATTATATAAATACATTTCAAATGATGAGTTGTTTGCAGACCAATGTCTCTGAAAATGCCCAAATTACTTTTTAAGCCCCCAGGGGTATGTGGCTTTTGCATAATTCACATGCCATCATTTCTGACAGAGGAAGAGAAACCTTTAAAATAGAATAATGACAGAAGGATATCAGTTACTGAACAGATAATAATTATTAATACTAATCTGTATTAGAAATTGCTTGCAAAACGTTTAGGACTCTCAAATACATTGTTAAACAAACAGTTTAAATAAACACAACCCCTGGAAACCAGGAGTGAGATGGGATTATGAGAGTAGTCATTAATTACTTTGTTTTATTTCCAAAAGCTCTGCTACTTCTAATTTGTCTATTAGCCTACACTGCTGCTCTGTGAAAACCTCCAAGGATACTACATATGATACAAAACTCACATGCAACTAGTCATGGAAATTTAAGTAATACTAACTAAGGGAAATTTGGCTGAACAGGCAAAATATTATATAGAATAATTTGTTTTGCAAAAAAACATTTACAAAATTATTTCCAATTATGAAAGGAGGACTGAATTAATTATTGCCTTTTTATGAACCACATGGATACTTTGGAGGCTTGTGAGAATATTTCTTTTTAAAAAAGCATGTGCAAGTAGAATGTAGAATTAGGGTTAATAGACATATTAACAATAATCTGCTGAAGCAATAGAAAAATGACAGCAGAAAACTTCAGGTTTCTGAGGCATAAAACTAAAAGCTCTGAAATTCAATCATGAACTCTAATTTTATCATAAAACCTTAATAAAGCTGGCAACCAAATGTATTTCAATTTTTATAAACTCTCAGACTCTCCTGAAATCAGCGAAACCAGAGGTTTTACATTGCTTTTAATAACCTCCAAATCTTAGTGAGATATTAGAATTTGATTGTATTTTGATATCATCTGAAAGATTATCCAACAGCTGCAATAAGCAATATATAGCAGGACCTCTTCAGGTTCAAACTTTGTGTGTAGGGAGAGATGAGATTATTCTGGTTTTATCAGAGAGGAATGCGTATGCATACAAGGCAGCAGCAACATGAAGTGGAAGCTTTCCAATCCCAATAGCTGCCTATGGGCTCAGATTTCCCAGGCAGGTCTGGCACATGGTGCTTGGTTGTCAGGCAGTTTGGGATGATCTCTGGTGTGAGGTTTAGCCTGTAAGAGCAAGTTGTGCTTCTGCTGGGAGCCCCTGGGTGGTGGCCATGCCAAGGAGAGCAAGTGGCCCTTTGCATTACAAGGCTGTGGGTGTGCCTGCTGCTCCTGTGCTGAGGGATGCGCCTCTGGCATGTCTGGGGCACCAACACTTCTTGGGCTCAAGAGACATTAGTGGAGACACCCAAACATTCAGGACTGGACCCTATGGCTGGCACCAGTAAACAGACTGGACACCTCTAAAATAAAGGATGGAAATTTTCTCTGCTTCTTGTGTGGATGGGACTTCTAATAAGCCATCATACGATTTTTTTCTCCTCCTCTTTAAACCAGTAAACTCCAACCCTCTGAACCCAGAAAGGTCTTTGCAAACAGCAAAGCGATTGTTTTCAATTTCCTGTTTAAAGAAATAGTTTAAAGGAATTCTGGCATGCTAAAAAAAATGCAGGATTTATTTTCTGAGAAAAAAATCCATTATAAAATTAATAAGCACTTATCAGAATTCACATGCATCTCCTAATGAGTAAGCAGGTGCTTACTACAGTGATTGGAAAAGAACCTCTCTCTGCTTTCAGCACTTTTCAGTTTTAAGAATCAGGGATATTGGTCCTTAGTTCTTATGTGGAAATATTTAAAGCTCTTTCTAATGTGTTTATGATGTTTTCCTATGCAGCCCTGCACAAACATTTCCAGTGTGCTATGACTCAGTACTTTTTTGAAGTAGCAGAAATACAATGAAAAGTCTGTTTCTCATAGTGTTTTGGCAGAAAACAACTCTGTGGGTTGGTGTTGGCAACACCACAGTCTAAGAATAGGGCACTTCTCAGGCAGAAAGTTGTTGAATTTGGACATCAGCTAGGTTTGCCTAGGCGTAAAGAAACCACTGTCTTCAGGGAAAAGAGTAATTTGGAAATGCTTATCCGACAAGTTAGTGTGCTAGTGTCTACCAAAATAATTATTTCCTGTGAGGACTACTCAGAATGAAGTAATCTCAAAGAATATATTCCACTGGATGAGTGAGGTTGCTGGGCAGCCCTTTGACACTTCCTCAAAGGGGCTGTCATTGTGTGGAGTGCTCTATTCTAGTTTCAATTGTTCATAAATGTGAGTAATGCTTCCTTCCAAGGGAAGAACTGTAACAGTGCAGTGCTTCAAGATCCATGCACTGTGCTGATAGCACTATTACCATCATTGTGAAATGCAGCGTAAGAGAAAATGTAACACGACAATGAGGAAGTGAAAGAGTTAAAGCTTTTAAACTGAGTATGAATATGACAGTCTTAAAACCTAATATGCTGAGCTGAGCCTGGGCTGGGGTGGTTCTGATGAACCCAGAGGAGGTGGAAGAGTTTTCTCTAGTTAAGGCTTTACCCATAAATACAGGCTATACTGACTGTTCTTTACAAATAAAGGCAATTCCTTGGAACCCTCAACTACATCATTCCCTTACTATGGGTAACATTTGCCAAGTGACTGAAGTGTCTACACCACCAGTTTGATTCCATTTTTATTGTGCCCCAGGGCTCTGGATTCCTGATTATCCATACCATTCATGCTCTGCTTTTGGCAACAAAACCTTTGGTCAATTATTTCCCTCCAAAAGGAAATGCGGGCACAGATGGCAGAGAAGCCAAGTCTAGTCAGATCATATTGGATGTGTAATTCCCAGGCTTGGGCTCCTGCTCCATGGGACTGCCATTCAGCACAGCCCCAGAAAGCCTTCTTCTCTCAGCAGCTCTCTACAAATCTTCAGACAGGACCTCCCATGACACTTCACCTTGCCCTCAGATATGAAAGCACAGTCCCAGCAGATAGAAATCTTTCTACTGGTATTTATATATCTGTGTAACTTCTCTGGAGAAGTAGACAGTCAGGTCTGGAAGCTGTCTTTTTTGCACAAAGATGAATTTTGAATTTGTCTGCTCAAGATTTCTAGGTCTTAAATTTTTTGGAAGATGCTTCCTCTTATTTAAAATTGCTTGTAATATATCTGTAGTGCTTATTCATCTCTTTTGTCTTCAGCAGGACAAAGGAGAAGGAAATAAATTATCTCCTTTGAAAGAAGGAGACATACCAAACTCCTTCCTATACAGGGCAACTCTGATTCGTTGCCATACCTTCCATGGTAATATGTAGGGTTCTCCAGCTTCTCTACCCAAGAGGAAAAAACACCCAGCAGTGCAGTCAACAAAAATCCTTTTTCTATCTCTAATCTCTAAATGCTTTTATCACAGAACATTTAGCATACATATGTACTCACCTGTGAGCCTTATTTCAGGTCTTCCTACCTAAACACTGGTCTCTAATGAAGCAGCAGCCATATGTCAGATTACAGACAGGTGACAGATGGAGTTAATCATGCAGCTTTGATCCATTTTTCCCCCACTCATTAATCTATCTCCTTTAAGACTTGTTCTAACAGTTCAAAACAGGAATACATACAGCCAGAATAAATTGTTACAACTTTGAAACTTGGATGAGATTTTTGACTTGAAAAGAGCCAGGAACGTAGATGTGTGAACTCCTGCCCCTTTCCCAATAAACACTAATGAACAGCTTCATCTACTAGCATTAAAAATATTTGGTCTGTCAAGGAAATGTTTCTTTCCCCAAATAGGGAAGGCTTTCAAGCTTTCTTTCAGGTTTGTATGTGTTTGATGGCAGCGCTTAGTCCTATGTTAGTGACACATTTAGACTGCTATATTCAGGGCTGGAAACAAAAATTTCACATCCTTCCAAAAGAGAAAGCTCCCTTTCCACTGTGACATGTCATATTTAGTTCTGGCCCTGGAAGATTCCTATGTACCACACATCAGTTGTAACATTTTAAGTTACAGAAAAACAAGTTAAAATTCCCTCTGAAGGAGTATATTGACATTTCCTTCTAAGGGTAATGTTTGCACTTGTGATATGAAGGTACCTGGACTCACAGAAAGAAGGATATAAAAACACTTCTTGAAAATTCATCAGTGTGCACGGGAAATGACAACATGGAATGGAGGCCATCAGAAAACTGGTCAGACCTAGCAAGTTACATAACTTACCAGGGCTACTTGTAGAGGTTCCTAGCCCTGCCACTAACATAAGGCATGTCCTCAGGCATGTCTCCTCATCTTGCTGTGATTCCATTCTCCATCTGTTAAGTGAAGATAACAACATGAAACTTTATGAAGAGCTTCAGGTGACAAATGCAATATAGCTCCTTGGTCCAACACACTGGACATAGCAGGAGGTGAATAACTTACATAATTTATTGTCTTCCTAGTTAAGAATAGCATGTCACCCTACTTCTGCACCTCTACAGCAGCTAGTTAAAGCACACTTGCTTATAAGCAAGATGTGAAAGAATCAACTTTCCATCTGTATCAAGGGTGCATAGCACTTTTTCAAAACAAATCATTACCTGGAGCAGCAATGGAAGAATCAAGATGTTTTAAAAATTGCAGTTGTAAGAAAGATATCATTTACTTTAGCAGCTGACAACATACAAACATGCAGAACAAGCAAAAGAACGCCTACCTAGACTACTCAGTCAAGGTCTGTGTCATAATTATTTGTGGTAGGGAAGCAAGAGGAAGACTCCCTCAGACAATTGTTACATTTAATCTTACTATGTAGCTGCTGGACAGTATAGGGACATAAAAGTTAATTGTCTATAACAGTTAAAAGGGAATTTTAGAGACCTACTGTATCCCATTAGATTGGAGTCTTCAGAAATAAGTGAATGATATTATATTGATGCAATTTTCTTCTAGTATGCATATACATTTTTATTTGCTTGAGAACAGGAGTATGTACTGGCAACAATTATGGCACTATGCAACTTCCAGTGACTAAAGGGAGGCTTCATTTATTTTAAAATTACCTTCTAAATTATCCACTTGTTTAATCATAAAAAATCTGGAATGTCTTTCTTGACTTTAACAGCTGAACACTTGGCTGAAGATATGTGGGTCATTACCTCCTCATTCTTTAATGTAAAGACAAACTGGCAGCCTGCTTGGGATTTCTCTGTACTCTGACAGATATCCAGAAATATCCTTCAAAAACCTTTTAGAAGGATCTTTTCCTTCAGAAACTGTACTAGATCCTGTTAGATTTCTCTGAAACTCATGTCATAGCTCCTGTCAGTGCGTGGTTTTTTACAGTAGGCATGAAAAGCTATGATCAAATACCTAGACTGTTGTTTTATTTACATACAGTGATGAGTAAAAAGCCCAAACACATACTCCAGATTCTTGTGTACCCTGGAAAACTATTTCCAAACCTTTAATTTACTTCTCTTGGACTGCAATTTCAGCCATTTTGTGATGGGATGGAAACATTTTTTTACCCAAACATGGTCAAATGGCATTTTTAGCTCTTTCAGTGCTCTCAGAGCTCTAGTTCTAGTGAAATTACAGTGTTAGTCTGGATTTCCATTGCTGTGACAGCAAACAGATCCTGTCTGTCAGTGTACAGACAGACTCAACAGACTGAAATATGAATGGAAAATGGGGTTAGAATGGAAGTCAATACTGCCTGAATTAATGTTAAAGCAGAACACTCTTGGGTAATGCTCAGGATATAGAAGGAGAGATAGTTTGAGAGGTGGGAGAATAATGAAAATTTAAGAGTGAGGGCACACCAACAGACATTTTCAGACATTTTTTTTCCTAGATAAACTTTTATGTAGTTTGTCCTAAGCACAAGATGACTTGCTAAAACCTAAAATATCTTCTTCTCCTACCCTCAGGATAATTTTGGAAAAAGAAAAATATCACACATATGAAGCGGCAAAGCCAAGTATCTAAGTGATTGGAAATGAACAGTTTAAATTAGAGGAAGAGATGCAATTTTGAGAAGGAAAGGGGCCATACCCTCAGGAACACAAGGGTTTTAAAATCCTAGAAAACCAAGAAGTGCAGATGAGCCAGAAGCTATTTGGGGCACGAAAAGCACCCTTCCTCATTCCAGAGATCAAAGAAGAAATGATTAGGCAAAACTAAAATCACAACCCAAAACAAGAAGCTCTGAAAAGGAAACATTGGTACCCCTATTCATCAACTAAGAGAGAAATAATCCATCACAGCTTGGTCTCTAGAGCCACAATGGATAATTGTCCAGTGGCCCCTTCTTTCCTCTCCTTCATTCCACCAGTCCAGTCCCTGTTTGCAATCAGTGCCATGGTCTGTTCTCACAATGGGAGAGGCACATGACGAGCAATAAGGGATGGAAGGGAATAAATGGAACCTCACCCAGAGAGTGCACACTGTTCCCTCAGGTTTTTAGTAATGGTATTCTTAGAGCAGGATCTCCTCTTGCATAGCTGTTTCTATAATCTGGTTTCCACCTGAATGGTGCCCCTTTGCCAATGTATGCCAGGAAAATTAATATCAGTATCTCTCTCTCTGAAATATATTCTGCTAATTCTGTGATGAGGGTAAAATGCACTCCTTGTGCATTTCCAGTCCATATCCCGAATACAGAAAGGATCTGACAACCAAGATGCAAATTGTGTAAGTGGAGCTACCAGAGCCAGAAAATGTTACCAGAGCCAGCAGTGGGTTTTCATCTCTGTGACAGCAATTCAGCAAAAAGGTACTGAATTTTGTAACTTTTTTGAGGGATTCACACTACAACTTAAGCTAAGATGATTTTATTGGTAACTGCAGGTACACTCATATAAGTAAAAAAAAAATATGTCAGGAGATTTATCTAGATAGCACAGAAGTGGGATAAGAAAGAGAGAATCTTATTTTTTTCTCTTTTGTACTTTTTAATTAATTTGAGGAAATTCCAAAACTTTCAGTATTATAGGCAACTAACACTGATTACAAAGCAAGAGAATATTGTTTAAATTTCTAGGCTGCAATTAAATATATCAGCTAAGGCTGCTCATAAATTGCATTTGTAATTTCTGATAAAACATGGTCTAAAAGCTTCAGATACTAAGGGATATGAAAGAATAGTACATGGTCCTTCATCCCTTTCTATAACTGCCCAATTTTCTTGTAAGTATTCCTGCTAAATACCTTCCCTTTTCTCTTGAATAAATCAAAGAAGGTGGCAGGCATTGATACAGTTAAATATTTCTACTTTGGTGGACCAAAAAAACCAGATGTAATAACCAGAGCTCCTCGCAGTTATAAAAGCCATCATCTGGCTCTCATGACTCGCTCTTGCAAGGGAAGAGGTGACACTGAGCTTGCAAAGCAGAAAGAGCATTTACCTGATGAGCTGAAGAAAAGAACTTTACATAAGAAGGCCTCCATGAAAGCACTGACTGAGCAATGTGTTTGTTGCATGCTGCCTTTATTTAGATATTAACTGGATTACACTTGCACTCATTCACAAATTGGAATATTTTTCAAAATGTGAAGGTATTCCAGATCATTATTTCCTGCGCTGTTGGCTCTGCATTCGAGGCAACAAGCAGATGTAGAGAAACAAACAAACTACTGCCAAAAATGTTGGTGTTGCCAGGGGCTGGGAAAACAGGCAGAAGCAAGATGGCAGGCCAAGAGAGGAAGATTTCTGCTTGTAGGAGTGAGGAAAAGTGAGATTTCCTGAGCACACAACTTTCTGAGGGATCAGCTCTGGCCACCAGGAACTTGGGAACTGGTGTTTGCTTCTCCCATGATGATGGAACCAGTGTACATGTGTATGTACTCTTGCTAAATAAAAAAAGCACTGCACCCCTCGGGAAGTCCATTCCTCCCTGACAAGAGCAGCCTTGCAGAGCCCCAGACATAACCACACCTTGCAATACAGGGCTGGCAGTCCCTATCATGAAATGCAGGCTTCCAGCACCTTTTAAGCATTAATGAGCTTCGCAGAGGCAACTTCCTAAGACTAAAATCAGCAAACAATTTAATTTCCTGTTCAAGCATTGCTGTTAAAGTAGTTTTACTTGGCAGTGTATCATGTGCCGCAGAGGGGGGAGGAGAGAAATTGTGTGAGCACCTGAGGCTGCAGACTGGCCCCACAGGGAAGGACGGCTGGTGCTGTGGGGCGCTGGGAGTTGTGGCAGTGCCTGCAGGGGGTGGAGACAAGGCAGCAGGCCCCCCATTAGCACCATGCTCCTGGGGATCCTCGTGGTGCTCTGCTTCATCCCCACTGCTGATGTAACAGGTAACAAAAACCCCCCGCATTTCAGTCCTTTCCCCAATTTTTTCTCGCTTTGATCATCAAGGGGTAGAAGGTCTGGTATAGCTCGGAATTAATTTTGCATTGATTCTTCTTGTTTGGATGAAAGGGGAGAGACAGCACGCTGCCAAGTCTGCAAACTTCAACTTGATATAACGGAGAGGACAATTTTTCTCCTGTCATAAGACCTAAGATCTTTAATCTTTTAATCTGACTTCTCTCTAGATCCATTTGGAAACTGCATGCATAGGTGGAGGGGTGTTTATTTCACCTACTCCCCAGGCTTTTACAAGCTCTGCTCACAAGCGCCTTTTCCTGGGGGCAGCGGGTCTGAGCAAACCTGGTGCCAGCGCCTGACCTGGGGAAGACTCTCCACATCCCCAAATATACTTGTAAAGCTTGAGGTTCCCCCATGGCCTGGCTTCAGTGTCACGGGCTCCGGTGCTGAGTACAATGACATCCTCACAGGATTAACAAATAAATGCTCAAAAGCAGAGCTGCTTACTGAGTGCAAAGATGGGACAATAGGACTTGCCAAGTTTCTGATTTTTGCATTGTTTAGTGGCTTACTGATACTTACTAGACATCTAGTTTCTTTCTGAAGATCTTGAGGAAAGAAAAAAAAAATTGTAATTTTGAAATCCCTAGTCTTAGTGAATCTCCCTGACTCTTCAGTTGTTGTGGCTGAGGGTATTTATCTTGGTGATGTCTTGCTGATGCAGTGTTCCTATGTTCAGACCTAAAATGCCTTTCCAGTGGGTATATTAAAATGTAAAGCAAGGCAAAGGATAATGGCTTTTGCTAGGATAATCTTGAGACAAATTTTCAGACTGCTGGCTGTGAACTGTTGTTATTGCATCTTCTTCAAATATCAGTTTTTTGTATTTTCCAGGGAAGTTACAGATAGGAAAAAAATTCTGGTTTCCAGTACAAAATTTCTAACATAGAGAACATCTTTAAAAAGTCATTTTTCTAGTATGAGAGATGCAATTGAATCTATTTTTTTCTTATTTTTACATTATTTTTCCATAACTATTTTCCTCAGTGAAGGCATTGAAGTTTGCATGAAACTGTGATCTACATTTCTTTAAGAAATCATAGATTTTTTTCTTCCTTGTCCTTTCCCATGTTTATAATTCTGTGTTTGCAATATCATAATTATTTCAACAGCAGGCCCCTGGATTGTCAAAGAAGACACTAATTCCAGGAGGGGATAAATATCAGCAGTAGGTTAACAGTTCTGAACACATTTCCATGAGGTGTGAACATCTTTTAAGCAGTGCTTTTGATTTGCAACAAAATAAGTTAGTGTGTAGTTCTCAGACACAGGTGTTATGCCACAGCTTTATAGATATATATACACTTGCTTTGCATGAAGAACTTGTGTTTCTCCAACAGACTCACCAAGATTGTTCAACTTCTTAAACAGAAGCACATGAGGTCATTTGCTTCTCAGGGTTCTCATCCTTTCCCCATCAATTTTCTTCACTCTTCATTTTCAAGATGATTGCTCCTTAGTACATGGAAAACATTAAGGCAGGTCAAAACCCTGCAGGACTTCCTCAAGCCATGAAGTGCATTATAAGCCCCAGGTATTTTGGTTTGGGGAAATCAACAGAGTTCGTCCTTTTGCTAGACTGTATCAGTGGCTGCTGCAGGCTGAGTTTAGATCATAGAAAGGGGTTTAAAATACTAGTTTAGTAATTTCCCTTTTGCAGAAACACTAACGTTTACAAAGTTTGTCCTCCTCCCCTTTTTGTTGGCTAAATAATTACCTTGCTGTGGTCTGTCAGAGAGGCAGCTAGGTCAAGTCTCTGGTATTTTGTAAAATAAGTAATATAAGGAGGTTCCCACTGCAGTGTACCACAACTGACCTCATCTTTTTACTATCCACATAATCTTCTGCCTTACAGTCTCTGGGGCTTAAAATCAACTTCTAACCTACCAAGGTCACCAGAATGCAAAAGATGGATGAGGCAAGGTTAGCCAAGTGTAGGATGACATCAACTAATTCATGTTCTAAAAAAACAAATTACAAACTGCCAAGAAAAATCCCTGTGCTCACACTGGATTTGCTTAAAGCATGAGTGTCACCTGGGCTTTCTGGAGTACTCCACTGCCTGCTGTACTCGCAGGAAAGCATGAAAGTTGAGCAGAAAGCAGGTCTGTAAGGGCCAGAAGGAGAGGATCCCCCCAGCTGCACATCAGACACACAGGGTGGCTTCAAACTAAAGTAAAAGAGAAGGACCCTTGCACCTAGGAAAGAAGAGTAAACATACTTGAACAACAGACCAGCAGCAGCAAAAAGTAAATAGCTTTTTTTATAACATACCTGTGTGACTTTCTGCCTGTGGCTTAAACAAATTCTTTTCAGTTTTTTCAGTTAGGGTTTTCCCTGTCCCCCCAGGGAGTTATGTGGGCCATTTCTTTCCTGTGCTTACAGAAATGCCAACTTATCTAAGATACCTTGTTCTGGAAAATAGCTTCTTGAAGTCAACTGGCATAAAAAAGGAAGAGGAGTACTAAATATTTTAGCAAAATATGTTTTTTCCAATAGCTGATGATGATTCATGAAGAGTTCTGGAGGAAAAAAAACCAAAGCCCAACATCTCAAAATAGATATTTTCCATATTTTGTCAACTCTATTTCACTTTCTTGGTGAATAGAAAAAATAAAAAAACTTCAGTAGAGTTTTGCTTGCATTGGGTTTGATGATCAGAGAGTCAGTATTTTACAGATATTATAGATGGATAGCATTTTGTTTCATGATCCAAAACCCCCTCACGTGTGATTACAAGAAATGTCCAGCACCACAAATAATCTATTAAAAAGCTTAACAAGCATTCATTTACATTCATTACACACAATTGCATATAAATCCTAAGATCCTGAGAAGGCTTTCAGCCTGTGCACACTGATTGAAATGATTTTACATTTTCAAAGTCACTGCTTTTTGAAACTGTAAACAATGATTTTTCATAACTGCTATTTTCCTGGCTGGGTAAGGCCGAGATATAGATATTTATTACTACACATCATGACTGACCACAGCTCTGAAGTGGCAATTTATTTAGGGGAAAGGAAACACCAACTAAATGTTTCGGAGTTCCACCATTTAACAAACCCAAAGTGACACTTATGAGGAAAACTTGTCTCCGTGTAGGCAAAAGCAGCCTCAGCCCATGTTTACTCAGAATGGGCTAGATCCTGCTCAGAATCTAGTCAAATCCTATTCGGATCACATGTGAAGTGAGGGATGTTTGGCATTAGTCTGTCTTCCCCATGAAAATAGCACACATTTTAGTATGACTGCCTTTCTTCAATTCAAAAATCCTCCAAGTCCAGAGGAGGACGAGGATGACAGCAGGGCTTGTCCAACATGCCAGTGGGGTAAGCTTGCCTTGCCCCTTTTAGCATTGCAGCCCAACCAATTCATGTGGTGCTAATGAGTTCTTCCTATAAATGAAAACAAAAATACCTCCTTTAATTTAGATTTGAAGTAGTAGAGCCACTTTGTGAAAACGGATTTGGGTACTTAGCTTCAAGCATGTAGGAGCTATCTTCATTTAATGACCCACAAATGAGGTTTTTCCCACTGCTCAGCCAGTCTGCATCCCAGCATCAGCAGCATGGAGCTGGGTTATCAAGCCTAGCCTGCAAGACAAGGCAAACTGATTCAAGACATGAAAATAAGTTGAAGGAATTTATCATTTTAGGTAGGTGTATCAAAAGGTTGGTTGCCAATTAGCACTGTATCATGGCAGGGACATAAATAGTCCAGAGCTCTAGCTAAATAGTAGAGCTCAAGGCATGAAGCACAGGTCTAAACGTCAGGAATCCAGGTTAGCTGATGGCAGCGAAACAGATGGGGGTAAGTCATGGGGGTCTGCAGAAGAGTGTAAGTAAGATCTGAAGGGAGTCCCTCAGTGATGAGATTTTCAGTGTTCTTTGACTTTCCTCTGATCACAGAGAAAATATGATCAGGCTGAGCAAAAAAAATATCCATTCATTTTCTATAAGTACTTGAAAGTACAATGAAAACAGGCAAGCACTTTTCGAAGCGTAATGCTTCTGTCTGTTCTGGGACCCTATTTTGGTTGTCAGCTCAGAGACAGAAAAGGTCTCCCCTGAAGGTGTATTCAATCCATGTGACAATCAGGGTTGTAGCAGTACACAAATTCTGCAAAGCAGTAGAATAACTCTGTCTCAAGTGAGATGTGTAGAATTCTGCTGTGCTAAAGGTGGAACAATTCTGCCACAGACTTGCAAATTGCCACGTAGGCCAAAGATCAATTTTCTGGCCAACAAAAATATAATCAAATACCTTGTCTGAAGGGGTGGAATCCAAACCTCAGCCGATACTAGAATGCCTTATAAGACTATGTGAGAGCTTTTGTCGGAAAATGCTGATTAAAGGAAACTGAATTGTTTTGCTGAAATGTCTTTATTTTGATGAAAAGTCACCACAGGCATTATCTTGAGTAAAGACTCACCTTCTCTATTCTTATTTCACCACTCTGTCCTAGGATTCAAAGATCCTTGTCTCTTTCTGCTGTAAAGCCTGGAAATGTTATCCTTTATCCAAAGTTTAACAGTGTTTTGGTTGCCTGCAAACATAGGATTTCAGAACTGTTACGAGCTCTCCTCCACCCTCTCACTAACAATGTTGAATAAAGAGATACAAGGAGGATAGGCTACAGTCTTTCTTTGCTAAAGATGAGGCAGTAGAGCATTCCTTGCCTCCCTGTCTCACATCTCCTCCTCTCATTTGAAGCAAGGGCTGGTAAAGGAGACTTTCAATGAGAAAATTAACAACTTCAGCAGTTTCACAAGTTCTGCTGGTAACTGGAGAGTCTCCTAGCCAAAGGCTGTTTTTACTGCCACTCCCTGCCACTAGTCCTGGCCATGTTATGCATCTCTTTGTGTTTACTTTATTCCCTGGACCATATTCATCCCAAAGGAGTATTCTGCTCAAGAGGCTGGGGTACTTCATCTTCTTGTGCAGACATGAATACAGTAAGTATCATTTGGTCCTAAATATTGTTAAAAACAGTTTTAAACACTAATTTTCTAGTCATTCTGAATCTGGCCTCCTTCCCACTTTATTTCTCCTACTAGCCTTTTTGAAGTCTCGCCACACAGATTAAGTAGAAAGAATCTAGGTACGCACCACATTTTGAGGACAAGAGGTACAATTGTCATTTCAACAGCCACAGTGATCCTCAGGGATGTGTAAAAGACTATTCAAACTGGTTTTGAGCTGAGCTTGCATAAAGACTTAAGTAGTCATATAAAAGCTTTGGCAAGTCTCTTGCTTAAAAGCCACAACTCCCTCTTACTTAGGGGTCATCATTTGAAAAGAAGGGCCTCATTTGTGCAGAATGACATTTCTTGGAAGAAGTTGTCTTTCTGCATACTCCTTGCTTTGTTTCATTGTTTGGCAGATGATAACACAGAGGTCTACATGTCAGAAAACATTTCCTGTTTATGTATCGGTCTGGTCAATTAAAATTCAATTATACATTCATGTGACATGTTCTTTTCAGGCCATTCAAGTGCTAAGTGCCAATGCAGTGTCAAATTAGTCAGCTCCAGAGTCCTTTGAGAGGTTAAGAATCTATTACAGCTGCTAGCTAGAGAAATTACTTACTTTACATTAAAATGATAACAGTTCACGCTTTTAGTGTTCATTGCCCAAGGTCCAAACTCTTGAAATGGTTCAGGAAATCCACCTGCAAACTCCTCAGGAGTCCTTGAATTAAAAAGCAAATGTATAAATAATATTCTCTTATCTGACTGCAGTGTCAATTCATTGTATTTTCACTCCATGATCCCCAGGAAACTGCTTGCTGAGTGAAGGATAGACTTAGATGGCCTTGTGCATACACACATACATACAGATGCAGACTAGGCTTCTGAGCTCTGATGTGAAGTCTTAATCACGGGCCACTGCCTCTGCTACTGTTCCAACTCTGAAGAAAAACACTCTTGATCTCATAGTCCCCTAGAGACGATGTAATTATTTACATACAGGTGGATAGCTGCAACAATAGCTCCTGTGAGAAAATGCTTCTGCAGATGGGTGGTTTTGTACTCCCTGGTAGGGAGTGTCAGCAGGGGAGAGAAGATATGGAGAAGAGTTGCATGGGAGGATGTGTGGTTCCGATATTGTATTTTATAAACAAGTGCTTTTCTCGCTTTCTCCCCTCCCTTCCAGAAAACAAGATTTTAGTGGCTCAGCATCCTTTGCTCATTGTAGCTAACCAAACTGCAACTCTAGTTTGCAACTACACATACAATGGAACAGGGAAAGAATTTCGAGCTTCTCTACACAAAGGAACGGACAGTTCAGTTGAAGTTTGCTTTATCTCATGGAACACAACCAAAATTAGCAGCAATTCAAATAAAGAATTCAACTGCCAGGGGTATCATGATAAAGACAAAGTCATCTTCAGTCTTTGGAACATGAATGCCAACCAAACTGACATCTACTTCTGCAAAATTGAGGTTATGTATCCACCCCCATATGTCTACAATGAGAAGAGCAACGGGACTGTCATTCATGTGAAAGGTAAGCTGAGAAACCTCTGTAGGCCAGTATCCTCCCTGTACACAGTCCTTACATAGTGGCTGGAGGCAGCTTGTTTCCTTAAAAAAAATGTTGGATTGCCTGTTAAAACTACATTCCTGCTCTGGATCTCCTGAAGAAGAGATCCTAAAATGATGATTAATTAAATGACACATTGGAACAAGGAGTAAATAAGGAGAGATCGATGTTTTAAATTTCATGTACTTAAAGTTTTCTTTGCTCTTTCCTTAAAGAGACACCCACCCAAATACAAGAGCCTCAGTCTGCAATTCCTTTGTGGATTCTGGCAATAGTGACTGGAATTCTTGCACTCTACAGTATGCTAATAACTGCAGTGCTTATTAACTACTGGGTAAGAAATTTGTGTTTTCCTTTGCTCTGTATTCTCTTATAGTTAATTTCTCAGCTTATACTTGCCGTGTGTACCACTAACTCACTGATACTCCTTCAGTACAGGATAGCAGTGTTTCCTCATCCCAGCTATGTATGCACATCCATGGTGTACCCCAAAAGAGCTGAAACACCAGATGCTCTCCAGGTGGGCAGTCAAGCCTCTGCAGTGTAGTCCTACAGCAAATACTAATGCCACAGAGTTGGCAGTGCCCTGCACACCAGCAATACCTGGACACCTCTGCCAGCTGAACCTGTCAGGGTAATCTAGAATACAAGCATTTCTGACAAAACCCTTTGAGACTGTACTGACAAGAGCTCACCTACAATAAAACAATCTATAGGGAGCCCTTAGCTCAGAACCATCTGCACTGGTGTCTTGTGCCTATCCAGCAATTCCCTTGAGCAACCACTATTTCTGGCAGCTTGACTACAACGGAATAGGAGCAGCTGGATCTCAATAGTCCTCTGTCTGTACATCAACAGTAAGAAAGCTATGACAGCCTTATGACTCGTAATTTTTGCTTTCTAATCTCTCTGGAGAGTTGACTGGCCCAAGTCACATCTAGTTCTCCTCCTGGCATGATACAGGGGCAGCAGAAGGACATTTTCCTTGACGAGTCTTAGGACTGTGATCTCCAGAGCAAATTTACACTACTCACTCCATGTGAGAAAGACTTGAACAAAGATAACTCAATTCCTTGCACTCTGGCTTTCCCCTCTATTTTTATTGTTAAATAGCAATTTCCAACACAACAATTATGAGGTAGCCTGTACAAAGGGTCCAGAGTCCCTGCCAAGTTAAATGCTGCTTGTATACAGAAAGCCACGGTCACTGCTAGCTGAAGCTTGAGATCTGCTAAGTGTTTCACAAAAGGACACATTCTCAATCTGTGTCTATTTCTAATGGAAAACAATCAAAGGGGGCACTGCCTCAGGAAAATGCAAAGGCCGGGTAAGTGGCTCTTCTTTGTCCCTACTGTAGAGGCTGACTCTGAGGAGAGCTGAGAGGATTACGGGAGCAGCTGCTGGTGTTACATTGCTGTGCTGCTGTGGCTGTGCCACAGATGAGATGCTATAGCTTCAAATCTATCATTTACAATCTGAACCTTTTTCTCCATTGTTACCTAAAGGCTTCAGACTTGGCCACTAACATGTCTGCCCTCAGCAAGAGTGTCAAGGCTGCATTGCCATGTGTGCTGTTTGCTGCATCAGTTTTCACCTGCTGTTATTACTGCTGGCAGTATTCTTCAGATGATATATATTCTGATTCTGGATGTATTTAGAGTGTTGTTGAATGCAAATACAGCTACCTAGAAGACATTGTGAATTGTAAGAAAAAGGTCCTAGTTGTGGTACTCGACAGACATGGCAAGCCTGATCAGTTCCTGAAAGCAGTTAAAGATTTGTCTATTTTCATAACGTTCTGCCTTCCCTGAAGGAAAACTGCTTTCTGTTGCAAAAGTAGCAGTCTTTGATCCTGTAACAGCCCACCAATCATGCATGCTAGCAAAATGTCTTTCTCCCATGAAAAACTACCTCCTAGGTGAATTAGAAATCCTGTATTATGGAGATGAACACACAGAGATAAAGCTTTTGTATCAAATGCTTTACATGCATCGGCTGCATTACATGGCTTAAGCAGTATGTAACTTACATTCAACACTTCACATATCTATAACATTAATATTTAAAAGCTTAAAATATTTCATAGTAAGTGCCCCACTCTGCACCTACAACATAATGCAGCCATCATATTTTCTAATGCAAGCCTCTTCCAATTCCACAGCATCATGTTCATGTATACTGCAGCATATGCTACTATTTCTGTACATGGGAAGGAAATTTCAGTAAAAAGGAGATTGAAAAAGAGAGTATGATTAGTATTAAGGAAGAAGCATGGAAGCATTTTATTTACCCCTGATCAATAAAGTCTTAAGCTACGTAAAAAACACCAACCTTGTGCACAGCCTGCAGCAGTCAGAGGTTGAAATGCTGCTGTAGCCACATATTTCCTCAGTGATTTTAGGCAAATTATTTCACCTGTCTTCTGCTACTGTTATTTCTGAAAGAGCCAATGTTTCCCTTGTCTCACAGGGGCATTATAAGCAGGAATCCAGCAGTGGAAGTAGGATTTTTGAGGCCCAGATAAGGAGACATAAAAGATTAACATCAGCTCCGATTTTTTCACTTCTTGAAGGAAGGTTCAGAACAACATATGCATTGTGTCTTACTGCTGTAAATGGTAGGAAGACCATTTTACATATAGTCTGGGCTGATTTTTCATGCTCTTGTTCTGTTCGAGTTAAGCTAATTTCTCTTTACTTCCTAATAAATGAGGACAGCCTTCACAGCTCAAACTCTTTTGTTTCTGCTGAATCATTCCACAGATGAGAAAGGCAAGATGATGGTGAGAGGCATCAGTTTGTATCCTTGGTGTGTAGCATTCCTTTATCTGAAGAACTAACACTGTAAATCTCTCACCAGATAAACTGGAGACTTACTTTCAGGTTGGGAAAATTCCATAGATTATTTGATGAGAACATGTGTTCCAATTATTTTGTAAATGTATTTAAACTTCAAGCTGCCTTACAAATATACCTGCCTCCTTGAACAAGAACCTAGGGCCAAAACTGTCAGCAGTTAACATGAGAGTTTTCACAGTTGTCTTCACCCTTCTCCCACAGCAAAAATTCAAAAAGAATATGTACCATCAGAGTGACTACATGAACATGATTCCCCGGCACCCACCATACCAGAAGAACAAGGGTTACCCATCCTATGCCCCAACACGAGACTACACCGCGTACCGGTCCTGGCAGCCCTGATCCCACCAGGAGCCTCGTGTGCTTCTGGGCAGTCACTTGCTCTGGGGCATGGAAGGACAGCCTCTCATTTTCTCATCGTGTTTGTTTCTGTTGATCACGGACACGTACATCATAGCAAGTATTAACTAAACTTTGATCTGCTAAAAGAAAATCCAGACCAACAAACCAATATAAAAAGGGGGAGAAGTAAAAAAAAAAAAATTTTCTCCATGATGGCTGAAAATGAGGCCCAGCTTGTGTTGAGGGTTGTCAGTGGATGAAAAGATGGCATCAGACCTCAGAGCTGGTTTCTTCCTAACACTTGTGGTTTTGCTCAGCTGTTGGAAGAAGCAGAACTTCTGATCTTTTCCAATAACTACTGCCTTGGATTTAACCCTTAATTTCCTTCCCTGTATGTGTAGTCCTCAGAGAGTTGCTGTTAAACCTGGCAAAATGTAAAAAAATAATCTTTTTTTCTCTATAAGACAAAGACACACCATCTGCAGTCATGACCAAGCAACTCCACAGACTGAAAAAGCAAGCAACCTGAAGACAAAATCAAGACAAGTGGGAGAGGAAGAAAGATTTGTCTTCATCATGAGCAGTCCCATTTCTTTTTTGTTTGCCTCCTGCATCAAGGGAATGCAAAGTCATACATAAAGCATTAGGAGAGAGAGAGCTCAGATTTTGAGAAGATTTTTACTTTTATTTTTGAATTTGAGAATTCAAAAGGTGTTCTCCTAAGTTCTCCTGAAAATTCATGCATATCTCCTGGCACATAGGTTGTACCACAACTCTTTCAAAAATCTGGTTCAACTTATGAGCAACTGAAGAGCACTTCATTTTTTTTCCCATAAGTGTCCAGTTTTTGGGGTGTGAGAGGATTCTTCATTCTCAGCATTGTAAATTGGACCTGCGAGTTCTCAGACATCTGCAGGATCTGCTCTGAGCACTTTGAGGAACTTTGTGTTATCTGGAAGTTACTTTTCTCTCTAAAGATGTTCTTCAGGGCTGCTCCATGCCAGAGTAGGATGAAGTCTTTAGCAAAACATGATCCATTCTTTCAATCTAGTGAATTTACAATAACAGGACATCCTAAATTGTAATTGGGGTTCCCTTGGCATAAAATCCCTTTTCATACTGAGGAGACAATGTTTATTCTATAAAGACTACTGAATAAACAATTAAAAGAAAAAAAGCAACACATTCCCACCTTGAAATAAAATTTTGATGGTACATTTAATTTCTTTCAAACTGGATAAGAAGATTCTTTCTCTCTTTGAGGAGACAAGACAAAAGTAGAGATGTGGAAGCATGACAACAATCTGCTTCGATGTCTTAACCCAAGAAAACAACTTTGGTACTTCCAAATTGGAAGTTTTATTTGAGTTTGCTGACCGGGCCACAAATCTTCCACTCTGAGCCTTCTATCACCACAAACCATGTTCCTGTTGAGGGTGCTCAGAGGGTGCTGTGCCACCTCTGAGCAGCAGTGAGGTGCCCCCAGCCAGGGACAGCAGAGCCCCAATGGCAATGGTAAGCAAGGCCCAAGAGGCAGTGATGGGTCTTCAGCATGGGAATCCAGTCATGGACCCAGCAGGCCCTGAGAACCTTGGTCTGGTTCAGTTCAGCAAACTCAAAAGCTTGTGATTAAACTGAAGAACTTCAAAACATGGTCTAATTTATTTCTTCTCCTTTCCCGTTACCACATGCACAAACACCCCAAGGCTGACATTTTTCCACATACAATTTTTACTCTCTTTTCCTGGAAAGCCCTCACTGCACCTTTGTGCTGCAGCTGAGGTCGCAAGGAACACATGCACAGGGCAAAGGGGAAGGAACCTGGCAGGACACATGGCAGTTGCTGTGTGGTCCCAGCCTGGCCCTCCTTGCTGGCACTGACTGGGGGAATGCTAATGCCTTGCCACCTCCCTCCTCGCTTGGAGGGGACGTATAAATGATCCCGTGCTGGGCATTGAGACACTCCCAGCAGAGAGCAGCAGGCTGATCACAGCTCTGTGTCAGGGTATGGCACTGTCTTACACAACCACATGTATGATCACAATGTGCTGTGGAAAATCACAACTTCTAATGCAAGTATAAGGTGAGATGGAAAATGTGTATCAAATCCATTAAACAGGATAAGTGTTCTTTACATAAACTGTATATATACATATTTAGGTATAGATGCATCTTTTTAATTGCATCTATATTCCCTAGAGCTCTATTATACTTTTTGCAATCTCCTTTTAAAATTATTAAATAGATACAGTAAATTAAATATGGAATGAATGTATTAGGCCTGAGGCTAGTCAGAGGAAAGTATTACTTTCTAAAGCAAATACTGGTATAATTTGCTTTCCTTCCCCTTACACTTTTGTACTTTCTGTATTTAAAAGATACTAGTAGCTCGCAGGACATGATACTGGAAAGTAAGTCCTGGATCATCTTGCAACAAATATTAATTCATTCGACTGACCAAAAAGGAAGGGGGATGCAGGGAAATATCCTAAACCTAAAATGTAAAAATGAGGAGAATCAGGACATGAGAAGCCCCAGCATTGTGTTAAAATGGGCATTGCTGTTATACTAAAGCTCTATAGAAACATGAATTATGGACTGTAGGAGATGGGATACCAGTAAATTCCTTTTATCTACTACTCTAAAGGCCTAAAATAAAGTGTTTGCAGAGAAGCAAGCTAGTTAAGCCTGGAGTCTGCATATGTGGATTAGCATATTCGACAAACAGCAATCCTAATTTATTCCATCTGGTTTTAGGCAATGCATAACATACCAGGACATCCCTGGCCCTCCCTGGCCCTGCCTTTGGGGTCTATATGCTGTTTATGGGATGATGTAAAAAGAAACCTCCCTCTGCTGCAGCTCTGAACTTGGAAACTGTCCCTCATGGAGGGCAGAGGTAAATCAGTAGGGTTTTCTGCCTTACACATGGGTTTTAATTCAAATGCGAATATAATCCTGCCAAAGAGTGATTTAATTTTTCATCCTCCTTTCCCCCACTTTCGGGTCTCAGTGTCAAATGAACATCGGATCTGCAGTCATCACATCTGAACAGCAATCAACATATGTTGCAAGGGGTCAACCAAGGGTTGTGCAGCTCCTGTATGCTGATTCCTGTTCTGCACGTCTCCAGCACAGCACAATACAACAGCCTGGCTATTCTTTGCTTCCAGGAACCAAAGCCCTAGAAGACAAATGCCGAGGAGGTAGCCTGTGTTATCTCTGCAGTGTCTTGAACCTTCCCCATTGGGGTGGTCAGGCTTACTAAAGCCAAAAGTCTTGGACATTCCTTCAAGTCTGAATATTCCAAATTCTAATATCATCCTCCTGTATAACATTTTTTCCAAAACGCCTCTTTTTTCTCCTGTAGCTATAAATGTGAACCCTGCATCTCTGCCAAACAATATCATATCTTCCTTCTTTGTGCATCATCTTTTCCCTTTCATTTCTATTCCAGACTCAGCAGTTCAGGAACCCATCCTATTTGTTAATCTCTAACACCTTTGTGCAGCCTTCCACATGTACTCCTGTCTGACTGGTTACTTGCTTCACAAAGACCATCTTGTATGCCACATTCCTCCTCAGCTAGGGGTATGGAGTTGCCATAGGAGACTGAAGCCATGGGGTGATTGGATGGGTACATGTTTTCTGTTTGAAGGATTTGGGGGTCTTTCATACCTTTGATTTTTCCCATCATCTTCAAATTTTCAGTTGTGCCAAACAGCCACGTGGGGATCCCACAGACCACATGCTTCCCAGAATGCATTTAATTTCTGTACATTTCATTTCCTGTGCATAGCAGGTTCTTGGCTATTGCCAAGTTCATTATGCATGCAGACATGCTCTGACAGCACAAGCAACTTTGGCTACTGATGGTATGTTTGACTAATAAAAACGCGGTACAAAAATCTCGAGTTTGAAGAGCACACAGGCGAAGTCCTCAGTGCGAAAGATCAAATCTTTCCACTTTCAGCAAGGGTTTTGCTTTGTGACTGGAAAATGCGTTGTACAAGATGAATCACAGGCTAAGACATCATTTTGTTAGTCACTCATACTAACCAGAAAACAGGCTAGGGTGATTAGAACGGGATCAGCATTGTTAAGGTCCAGTAAAGACTGGGAAAGGCTGAAAACAGCACTAGGTTGTTTTGTAGCCAAAGTCAGTGCCTTTAAGTGACTGTGAGAGGGAAACTAGCTGCTTAAGTTGATGCAAATGGACTGTTCTTCACAATTAGGTGCTTTTGTTAGAGCATCATGTTACAATATGTTACAATTCCAGCCTCAAGGGCATGCAGATAGTATGATGTGGCAAATTTGGCTGAAAAATGTATTAGGAGGCTGCCAATTCCATATTAACCCATTTGCAAAGAAACAAAAAGTTGAATGATCTCAAATTCATGGTGGGTTTTTTGTTTGTTTTCTTTTTTCTTTTTCTTACTGGATCTTCAGGATCAAGGCACTGGTTCTTATTTCCTGCTCCTCTTGCTGTTGTTGTTTTATTAAGAATTAAATACAACTTTAGATTACATAAACTTACCAGGAGCTCTTCAGTTTCATTCATCTGACCATTGAAATTATGAGGAGTTTTCAAATGCCACAGTTTTCATAGCCATTGTATCATTAGCTGGCTACATCATTCCTTTTCCTCATTGTCTTCTTATTCCTTCAAGGGAACTATTCTGGATTGATTGAAATGTTCTCATGGGTTGAAACAAATCTGGTTTTTCAAACAGGAAAGATTACTACCTAACCAGCAAAATCAAAGATGCAAGTAAACAATTCGTAAGAGTTCTGTGGAAATTAACGTAGTAGTTTCAATCTGATAGAAGGATCAAATAGCCTTTTTATAATATCCTCCTCTAAAATAAAGAAGCTTAAGAAATCATATACTAAAATACCTTAAAAGACAAGAGATCAGGCTGCGAAATTAAGAAATCAAAGGTGGGAAATGCCAGAAGGAAGCTTTCCTATCCAGCCTCCCTTCTGCCCCGCTGTGTGACCGGAGTGACTCTTTAACTAGACTGCATTTCCCCCTGCTGAGCCGAGCCCAGGCTGAGCGGGGCGGTCCCGCTGTCTCGCAGCGCTGCAGGAAAGCTCCGGCTGGGGCCGGAGCAGGCGCGCAGCGGGCGACAGATTCCGACAGCAGCTCAAGCTCTTGTCATGGAGGGCTGCAGCAGGGCACAACTAGCAAGCAGGCTAGCTTAGATAATAGCTAAATTAGTGCCCGACAGCCTCGTCAGTGCCCCACTAAATTAGATCACTCTGTCGTGAGTCAGAACGAACGAATTTTTCTGCTATGTTCGCTGCCTGTGACAGCCCTTGGGCTACTTTAATCTTCAAACACCAGTGGTCAAGATGAGAGCTGATTTATTTTTTTCCTTCATGAAAATGATTAAGTAGATTACTCACATTTCTTCCTGGGTTTCTTAGCCTTCCACAGACAAATCAAAACTGGCTGCAGAACGAAAATTGTTTCTCTGCATAGCTCATCAGCTCCTGATACTTATGGACAGAAGCTGAAGTCCAGGGTGGAATGACGCCTTCGAGAGCATTATGCCCTCCTTGTAGCTCTTTCTCTCATTAGCTGATTGTTGAAATAATGCTAATGTTTTATCTTAACAACAAAAAAGTATGAGACTATGAAGATACAGAATTGGACAGCAGGGGAATAACCTCTGTCCCTCCTGCAGACACACAGTTGATGCTACTTTAAAGCCCAGCCCTGTGAGGGAGCAATTCATCAGTAAGGATGGGAGAAGCAAAAGGGGTTAAAGGAGAAATCACTCTGAAACCTCTTCAGTGAAATTCTGGAACAATCCCTCAGGGAATGGAAATGAACAAACCAGCTGTAGGATGTACTTCACAGCTCAGACTTTTGCCTCTCCCTAGCCATGCACTAGAAAAACACCCTAGTCCTTCTTGCCTCAAGAACTACTTTTTACTGTTTGGCCACTCTGCATTTTTGAGACATAAGCTGCATTGATGGTGAAAGCCAGGTTAGGTCCTGTGTGTGGACTTGGGTGCACAGTCAACTCCCAAGAAACTCTTGAGATGAAAGCACAAAATATGTTCAAAGGGCAATGGGCAAACAAATTGGCTGGAAAGGTAGGATAGATGAATGGCTGTCTGCAGGAAAAGTGAAGTTACGCAACTCCAGAGCTTTCCTCTAGCAACTAGAGAAGCACATTAGTTTGAGCAGCTGTAGTGGATTTCCTCCAGTAAAACAGCTCTTGGAAAGATGAAGTGATTATTTCAGGACATTTAATTCAAAATAACCATATTAGGCAAAAAAAGATTTTGAAATACCCTTATTTCTGCCTTTTCTGTACTAAATGATTGCTTACTTACAAATCCTACACTTAACCTGTAGTATGAGCTTTTTAAAATCAATGTTCCTTTGTTGTCCCTTTTTTTAAAATTTTTTTTTAGTTGAAATTTGTATTAAGGTGTTTATATTGTAGTTATGCAATCTTATTTCAAACCACTGAGGCAGAGGCAAAATGAGGACCGGGGTATAGGCAGGGGACAAATAGACTGCAGCTTAGTCCAGTCCCAGCATGGCAGTTCCCACCTACTGTAAAAAGACTTCAGGTACACAGTAGAGTTCAAAGAGTCCACAGATTACAAGAGCAACCTGGTGAAGAAATGTCAGTTAGAAATGAGCAGCAGAAACCAGCTCTATTTTCCTACTGCTGTGGCTTTGCTTGGTGACGATGACATACAAAGATTAAGCCTAACTGCATGAGTTCCAGTGGTTTATCTCCTGTTTTATCATCGCCAGTAAGTGAAGGAGATGTGTGGGTGTCACCTGCAAAAAAAAAAGAGGTTGCATTTCTGAGAGAAAAACATCTGCAGATCCAAAAAGGCAAATGGTCTTGTTTAATTCATGCATATCCAGTTTCCTTCCTGTCACTAATCTGCAGCAATGAATTTAGTCTCCTGGATTTCCTTAGCTTTATTATGCTGAGAGAGAGTGCAAGAGAAAGGGAGACAGAAAGACTTGAGCAATATTAAGCGCCCAGAATGACTTCAATCACTGAGGTCATTTGTAAATCACTAAGATAGCCTGGCTCCCAGGGCATGGAGTTTGATTTTCCCTCCCCCACCTCCAATCTGCTGAACTATGGAGATTTGCAACAAGAAAAGCTATCTGCTGTGCAATCAATTTACAGAATAACATTTTGTTTGGTCTGCTATTGATGGAAGCTAGCAGAAACTGGAAGCCCTGGGTTCATGACACAAGTGTTAGAATCCATGTAGATGTGGTTTTTCTGCCCTTGCAAGTTTATGTCTGTGACAGAATGAACCTCTGCACACAGTTAACACTGCTTGCTGCATACATTGCACAGAAATCACTACTTTAAAAAGAGGTTTAAAACAAAGGCATCCCCTACATTGGATATGGAGGGAAACTACACATATGGACATGTAAACAACTGTACAAACACAGATGCAAGCTTTGGTCTTTCCTCTCCATTATTATGTATGCATGTAAATATAAAATAAAAAAAACAAGCCAGTGAGCATATGTCTTGGATTGCACATCAAGCACAGTATGCTCACTGCATCTAAGGTATCTCTAGATTAATAATGTTTCACTTGGCTGACTTGTCTGGATCAACTTACTAGCACTGAGATATAAGAAGTATCAGAAAAATTATAAATTCAGACTATCTGTATTTAGAAGTAAGACTTTCCTACACCTCCAAATTTGCTGTTATTTGCTTTAGCTCTGGACTGGAGAGATATTCATAAGACTTTTATCACTAAGCCCAGTGAGAGCACTGATAAACATCCCTTTTGATGGCAGATCAGAGAGTGGGTTCCCTGTGGCTCTCGTACAGCTATTCTAATTGTCAAAAGTGCATGTTGTACTCTTTTTGTGCCCCCGCTACAGCTCAGGAAAACAAAGGTCTTGACTAACCCTTCTTGCCCAAATCCAAAATACAATATTCACCTTCCTCATTAAATAGACCTTTTTATAAAAATTAAACTCACTTGTTCTCGATAGTTGCCATAATGAATGCTTGGTCAATAAAGATTAACTCCTTGTTCTTGCAAACAACAAGTTCTTGTGCCCGTTTACTGATGGAAGGAATCCAACTGATGTATCATTAGTTGTGTGAGGAAGTTGCACATCTGTACAACTTGGTGTGGGAGTGTCTTCTTCCCTCATATAAATGCTGGGTTACAGTGTGGGTCAACAAACTAATGTTTAGCACTTTTGACTACTGAAGAGCAGAAGAAAAGATCAGAACCAAAAATCTGTGAAATCAGAGGCACCAATCAATTCAGTGCTGCCTCTGTTGAATGACACGAGCACTAGCAGCTGAGTAGCACTCTCAGATCCCTTAGGACTGAGTTCATGCTCTAATCTCTCCAAGTTTAGCATTTCATATGTGTATAGATTGCAAAGACACGGGAAAATTCTAAAGGATCCAAGACAGTGGGAAAATACAGAGAAACAAAGGGTTTTACTTGCTAAAGTAAAGGTTTTGTGCTGACAACAGGAAACAAGAGACAGTGCAAAGGATGTTGTGGCTGTTGGAAGGGCCGCCACTGTAGCTACTGTGCGTACCTGGGTGACTCATCATCACAGTGACACTGGCTTGCACTCTAAAGTCCCTCCTCTCCCAGCTGAAGCCAGCTGGCTCATCCTGCCTGGCCTCTCCATGTTTCATCTCTGCTAGGTTATCATCTGGAAAGCACTTGGGCTGGCACTAGGTTGGACTAGATACTGGAGTTGTGAATATACATGTGACACATGCAGGAGTGACACACCAGTCCTTGCTTGAGGAGATGAGAAATGGAAAAAGAAAGTGAAGGAGGAAGCAGAGGTGTGGTGCTTATGCACATGTACAAAACTCAGCAGTTGTTGAGGACAGAAAGTACAACTGCAACGTTTCTCACACTGCTTGTAAACTCCACCCACTGCACCCACCATGGGTACAAGTGCATCTTGTGGGGGACTCACTGCTCCACAGGAACTAGAGGTGCTAATTATTTCGTCACTTGTAAAGCTTCAGGATTGGGATATTTTTTGTAATGAGTTTTCCTATGGTCACAGAGTTGACCATCTCTCATCGGCCTTCCATAACTCAAGTTGTCCCTAGCACTATGGACAGAGGATGACACCCTTTGGTTATCAGATGATAGGGCTGGAAAACATGTTTCCATGTAAAAAAGAGTGTCTGCTGCTGTGGGAGTAAAGTAGTAAAGCAGTATGGCCGTACACTGTGATAATAGAGTATGGCAAATTGAAGGCAAACGAAAGTCAAAAGATCTCTGTCAGAATTTGTCTGTGCCACCAGGCTGACCCTTGTGAAGGTCATCCATCCCACTGCTCTTCAGGCAAGACTGGGAATACACCACATTACACAGCAAGAAGGCAAACGAAGGTGATGAATCTGACTTGGGAGCAGGAGCTTCAGACTGACTCACAGTTTTTATTCCTCAAGAGGATTGCCAGGGTATTGACAAGCATCCTTGGCATACATTCCCTCTTCAAACTGTGGAACTTGCTCTGCATACAAAGGATAAATTAGTCGGCAATTTATTCTTGCACAGATTGCAATCAAATTACTGTACAGCAAGAATAATGACTGAAGTCTATTCCTTCATCTTTTCCTGCAGACGCCCTGTAGCTCTGGGTAGCTGCTGTCCCTACACACTTGCTGGCCAAGATCACCTGTGCTAAGAGGTCATCAGAAGGACTTGGCAGAAGCAGTGTGATGTAAAGACGACAGAGAGAAGTGGATAAGTGAGCTTTGTGGCCAGCACTGCCTCTGAGCTTCTACTGGCACTTTCTATGTATCTTCGTTATTGTGACTGCAAGCTCCTTGGGCTATTTTTTGCAAAGTTGCAGGGGTTTGGTACAGAAACACATTAATGTTCTTATTTTCTTCCTTCCACACATTTCACTTTCTTTCTGACATATCTCTTATTTACCACTTGGAACACATCTGGCCATCAGAGCTGTGGTCTTTCCAAAGCTTATTTTTCACTTTATCACTTATTTATATGGCTGCATGTGTCAACATCAAAGGGAAGCCAAGAAAACAATATCAACAGAGAGCTCTCTAACTGCACAGCACAGCACAGAAGCCACAGGTGATCTCCTCACACTGAATTCAAGTACAGCATTGCTATGAAATAGTTCCACCGAGAGAGAGCTTTGCAGATGCTTGACTCATAACATATTTGCAACTTTGCGGTACTGGGGGAAAAACAAGGAGGAAGAACAGAGTGCAGGTCAAGCATATGAACACAATCCAGAAGACAAATGAGCACTTTTCAAAGGACAAAAGCTTTAGGCACACCTTACACCCCTTCTGCCCCTCACTCCCACTCCCACCATTAGAACATATTGGAAATGCTTTATCCTATAGGAAACATCTGTACATGGTTGAGAGGGGGTAAACATTTACACATATAACCAGCTCTATGAGAATATAATGTTTCTTTTAGAGTTATGCCAACATGTTTTTCTATTTCCCTAGCATTTCCTTGCACAAACTGTCCATGCTGCTCAGTGACTGCTGCCTGCCCTGCTCTCTGATTGGCAAAGTGTGTCCCTTTCTAATCTAAAAAAACCCATGCCTGAAGAAACTTGCTTTCTGAATGCAACAATCACTCCTCTTGCAAACTAGATCATATGAAGTCTCCTGCCTTGTCCTGGGGGACCCAGAACTCATGAGGCTTTTTGCAACAGAACAGTAACACACAGACTTGTGCTCCATCTGGCAATGGTGTCCGGTTTCCAACAAGCCTTTGCTGCTCCAGTGAAAGATATTAAGCCTTTATGATGGCCTATCTTGCCCTGAAAGCAATATGCTTCTATCATTAGCTAACAATCATCTCAGGGCCTTTAACAAGAGCTTTGAGAAATAATATTTATGATTTTCATTTTATGCAATTGCAATCACTGTGATCACAAATATGTGTTTATATTACAGTAATTATCAAAAATCTATTTTTTTTCCATGCTGTGCAAGCTGAAAAGTGATATTTCATGTCCTGAAGAGTTTAGAGGATAAAGGCAGAACAGATGACAGCTAATTGAGTGTGAATTTTCTTGAATACAAGAAAATGTAAGGAATTGTGATGTGATTGGCATGTGTAGCTGTTTGCTTTTAAGTTGGGTGTATAACCAGTGAAAACGGAATGAAAAGAGAGGAATATATATTGTTACTGCCTTTTGGGGTTTGCTGGCTTTGTTTTCAGTCAAGCAGTTTAATGCTTGAGAAGAGGAACACAATCTACATTTCTCTGCTACAAAACAGTGAACAGTCAGCAGTGACTGTTTGGGATTTACACTGGTGCAAGAGCATGAAATTTGGAACTGGAAACTTTTTTTTTCTTTTCATAACCTCCCTGCTGCAGCAAAGGAGTGTCTTCAGTTCCTGGCTAATTGGTTGAACGGTCTTTTTCTTCCTCTGAGCCTTCATTAACTTCCTCTCTTCTCCCAGCTATCATTTCTGGAGAGTTTTGGTAGGATGCTGTCAGATACATGTGAAGGAGAGATTTCTTTTCACTCATTTTCCTTTCCTCACAAACTACGGTGCTTTCTCCTGCCAGTGTCTGACTGGCAGAGCTAGGCTCTGTATTTTATGCCTCACCCAGACCTTGACTGCAGCATTGTATTCACTTCATTCATTAATTGCAACAGTTCTCTTTGCTGTGAGCTGTAAAAGCAGAGTAATAAACCTAATGGTATTATGTAGTGTAGACTCCAGCTCATGTTGTTACTCATTCTCTCAAAGCAGGGACTGCTCAGAAGGATGGATGCCTAATTAACCCCCTTCTGCATTGAGGAAGCCTTGGCAATTGGGTCATTTTCATTTAGATTTCAACACCAGTGACTGATTTCAAAAGAACTCTGCCTTCCTTGGATCAAAACAAATTTGTCATCTCCAGCCCACTGGCCTCCAGGTTCCAGCTGCACTCACAAACATGAACTGAAAGAATAGGGAAATTGCTTACAGTGTTGCTGAATGAAAGCACAAGTACTGTGCTCTCTTTGCAACGTCAGCATGTGCTGGTATTTCTTTAGCAAACATGGAATCTCACTGCTGACATCAATCGTAGGCAGAGATATCTCTATATTATAGCAGGAATCCCATTCCCAAGGGAAATAGTATGGCAACTCATAGGTTGTTTTTAAGAACTAATACAAAAATACACGAAGGCTGTGTAATGATTCTTTTACCCTCAAATTTGAGGTCTCTGCTGCTGAAGCAGAGCCCTCTTGATGTGGCTTGGCGAGTCCTGTGCACAGAGAGGACAATCATGAGAGGAAGCATTCCTTCAAAACCTCAGAAATTTAGTCATCCACTGTGCAACAGCCTGACTCGTGAGAAGGTAAAGTCTTGCTATGAAGGGTGACACAAAGAACAGTGGCAGATCAGAACAACGTTCTGCTGTTACAAGAAAAAAGAAGGACAAACAGAAGTTCTTCAAGAGATCTGGTACTCTGAAGGAACAAACCCACAAATCAATATGTGATCTCTGTTCTCCAGGGACAAGTACCTGAAAGCAGCTTAAATAAATCAGGAACTCCTGAGCCACTGGATGTATAGAGACCATGGTAGGCACTACAAGGCTGAACAATGCACATCACCCAAATAATCCATTCAGTTTTTAGGACATGGGTTCTTTTAAAAGCCTTTGACTTCTCCATACACTTGGAAAGAGTCAAAATATCAGGTCATCTTATCTTTTCCTAGATGAATAAAGCAAATAAATTTTCAAAAACTTTTCAGATGCTTGTACAGGAGAAGTATTTCAGGAGACAACTTGAAGCTTGAGTGTTTCATGAAGTCTTTCATTTCATTAAATGAAGAGGCTGACCATAAGCCTTTTATGATTTTCAGACAAGGAGAATGGAGAGAAAGTAGAAATGGCTCCATTATCTCAAAACCAAAATGGCAACCCTCACATATGTAAAATCTTTTTCCTTTTCTATTGAGATGTTTTAGGTTTTGAAGGGTTAAGTCACCAGAATGGAGCAACTCCAACACTGCAGAAAAAAACCCTGTGAGACCTTTTTAGTGCTGTATATGTCTCTGCAGAGTGATGTGTCTGCAAACCATACTGAATTATCTGATTAGAAAGTGAGAAAAAACAAAGGCAGCCTGCAGTGAGAAAATGAGACTGTGCAGAATCCATCTGCCAGCAAAGCAATTAAAAGGATGGACTTCTTAGAACTGCATTGATTGTCGTTTGTGTATGACACTCAGTGGGCTCTGATTTCCACAGATAACACTCATGCATTTCAGCACTTAACACTCATGCATTGCAGCACCTGAAGACCTGAAGACCTGAAGTGATGATCTCTGTGTAGCTCACTACATTTTCAGTAGCTAGCACTAGTTTAATCCCTAACTAAGCTATTTAACAGGTGTGAGACCTAACAGTCTCTTCACACAAAGTGTGGTGCAGAAAGACTTGCTTGTTTGTTTTTTATTTTCTGTAAATGTATTTCTCAGAAGGTTTGTGGATAAGTATCTCCCTCCTCTGGCGCACAATAAAGTAACACCCTGGTGGAAGATTTGGAAGATTTGATGTGGAAAAAAATAAAAATAGGGAAAGGGTCTTCAGTGAAGGAGTATTTCATAAAATTCATGGGAGATAATGTATTTCTTTTGTTTCTCAATTTCATTATAGTAATTTAATAATATAAATGTAATAACTGTCCTCTACACCTGGGCATTTTGCATTCATTAATAGTTTGTCTAAGAAATAGTTCAGCCCTGATTTGATGCCAAATCTCCATGAATGTCAAAGAAAGTGCACACTGCCCCCTGGCAAACTATGGTAACAATGGATGAGAAGGCTGAGGTACTCAAAAACTTTTTTTACCTCAGTGACCACCGGAAAGCTCTCTGCCCACATCTCTTGAGTGGGTTGATTGCATGGCAGGCAGACTGAGGGAGCCAAGTGCCTTCCACTGTAAGAGATTATCACATTTGTGACCATCTATGGCACCTGATCAGATGCATCCCAGAGTCTCCAGGGAACTAGCTGATGTAGTTGCCAAGCCATTCTCTGTGATATTTTAAAAGATATGGCAGTCAAGTGAAGTCCCAGGTGACTGCAAAAAGGGAAATACTGCACCCATTTTTAAGAAGCATAGAAAGGAGGAGCATGGGAACTACTGAGCTGTCAAACTCACCTCAGTGCATGGGAAAATCATGGAACAGATCAACCCAGAAAACTTAGAGTCCTTCTATGATGGAGTGATTACATCAGGGGACAAGAGAAGAGCTACAGGTGTTGTTGATCTGAACTTCTGTAAGGCTGTTCTGTAAGGCACAGTCCCCCAGCACCTTTCTCTCTAAATTGAGAGAGATGGATTTGATGGGCGAATTGATCAATGGATGAGGAATTGGTTGGCCAGTTGTATCCAGAGGGCAGAGATCTATGGCTCAATAGAGATGGACATCATGACAAGTGGTGTCCTTCAGGTCTGCACTGGGACTTGTCCTGTTGTATATCTCCATCAGTTACAACAAACAGTGCAATTGGGAGCACCTTGGCAGACACCACCAAGCTGAGTGTCCTGTTGGCACACCTGATAGATGGGATACCATCCAGAGGGACCTGGACAAGCTTGGGCCCATGGGAATCTCATAAGGTTTAATAAGACCAAGTGCAAGGAGCTGTACCTGGGTCAGGGCAGCTCCTGGTGTTAGTCCAGGCTGGGGCATGAACAGACTCAGAGCAGCCTTGCTGAGAAGGACTTGGGTGTAGATGAGAGGCTAGACATGAGCCAGCACCATGTGCTCACAGCCCAGAAAGCCAATCGTGTCCTGGGCTGCATTCAAAG